TTGCAGGAGGCATGGATGTGCCCAGTCTGATGCGACGTGATGGACGTTTCCAGCGACATCGCCCTGGCCTGCGCCTGCTGCGGCGACCGAGCCACGCGCAAGAACGCCCTGCGCAACCGGGCCTTCTCCGACGCCGTGGCCGCTACCCGCGCCGGGGCGGAGTTAGGGCGTCCCGGGCTGCTGCCCGCTCGCACCGCTGGGGAGACCATCCCCGGGGGGAGGGCAGAGCGGGCCCCAGGTGGGCGACAACGTCCGCCGACCCGCCGACGTCTACTTGCCGCGGTTGCGCAATGGCACGGCGGCCGCTTGAACCTTTGCGGCCGCGTCCGGATCCTCGTAGGGCCGGTCGCTTCGTCAAGCCTGGCGATGGAGCGGCGCGAAGAGTTCAGGTGGCAGCACCAGGACACCGCGCGGCTACGCGCGGAACAGCTCTTCACCTTCCTCCCCATGACGGTGGCAGCCTTTTGCGGCGGGTGCGGCCGCGAAGTTCGCAAGGCCTTCGGGATCTTGGCTAAGCGAGAGGTGGTTGACGCCGCGGGGGAAGACGCGGCTCATGTTGCGGACCAACATGCTCGGCTGCGTTTTGTCTTTTTCCACAGGGAAAACGCGTGGGCGGCGTTGCGGCGCCACCCGACCCAGCCCGCCTGGCCGCGGCCGCGGCCCGCCTGGCCACTGCCGTGGCTTCTTCTGCGGCGGGCGCTGTGTGAGACGTCCCCGTTGCTGCCTAGCGACCACCGTTGATACCCCCACCCTTGCTTGGCAGCGCGGGCGCGCCCACGCGCCTTTCCGCGGGCGCCGCTGGTGGTTCTTCACGCGCGCCAGCCGCTCTTTCCTCGGCGGAGCGATGCATGGATCCCACAGGTGGCATCCCCGACCAAGCCGCAGCGTGCTGTGCTCGGTCATGCGCCCCCCGCAACGTTCCCGACTCCCTTCTCGCTGCCGCCCCCCAAAGACTTCCCACGACGACCCCCTTCACGACGACCCTCCACGGGGACCCCCCCTACGACGAACACGACAAATGTCATCCACTCCCGCGTTCCTTCCGTTTCCGCCGCCGTGTCGGTGTCGCCGCTGTGGTGTCCGTTGCCTCGACGCGGGGGGCCCTTTTCTCCTCGTCCCTTTTCCGGCCCGTCTGTTTGCGTTTGCTCCTCCCTTCCCTCTTCGTCTCCCGTCCCGCCTTCTTTCCTCTCCCTCGCCTTCTCCCCCCTTGCTCCCGGCTTGCTGTGTTCCCTCTGCCCCTTCCCGTCTGCCCCCCCGCGCGCTTCGTCCTGCCGGGCCTGGTCTCCCGCTTGTGCGTTCGCCGTTGCTTCCCGTTCCCTGTCTCCCTCCCTGTCACCGCGCAGCACAGACTGCTGGGAGCTGGCGTTAGACCCGCGAGCAGCGACGGGCGTTACTGTGGCGCAGAAGCACCGTCTGCTACAAGAGAGTCGGGAGCTGTTTGTATCAGGTGGGTTTCCAAGAGGAGGCGGAAAAAGGAGGAGGGGAGGGGGAGAAAAAGGAGGAGGAGGGCCTTTGGCCTGCCCGGCCGCGATCAACGAGGTTCGGCGGGCCCACAGTCAATTTCTACAGCTGTTCGCCGTTCCTTGTCGTTCGCAAAGACAATCTGCTCGTCGCATTGGATGCACGTGGTGTACCCAGATTCGCCGCTGGCGTCTCTGAAGAGGCGGGGTTTGCCAGTCAGCGCGTGTTCGCGTGAGGCCGACATCACTGAGATCTTCCCGCGCCGTGCGGGCTTCGTCTCGAGTTTCCTCGGCTGGGACTTGCGTCCTCCCGTGCAGCTGCCGTCAACCCAGCGTTTGCCACGAACATTTCCGCGGCCATGGTCTGTTCCTGCTTCCATCGCCGCAGTAGGTTGAGACGACACATGTTTCATTTCGCTGGCCTGAATATCCGGCTGCGGTGCGGTGTCGATGATCTCTACCTTGTCCATGTGGTCGTGCCTCTCACCTGCTTGGAGCACGCAATAGGTTAGGTGAGACATTCGGCTGATCATTGATTTTTCTGGGAGCTTCAAGGGCGTGGTGATTTGCAGCCCAGGTGTGCGGTGCGGCATGCTGTTCCAAAATCGTGGCGTTGGTGCAGAGTGCTCTTGTCACGCTGTCGTCCCCCCACCACTTCCGATTCTCGTCTCTTGCTTCCTTTCGCGGAATCAGCATTGTTGCCCGCGGTTCTGCCCCCCCCTTCCTCCAGTGTCATCTTGGCTCTGACGCGTTTCTGGTATGGGCAAATGTTTATCCATGTGCTTTCGATTGGTCGATGTTTGTCCTGACTGTCATCTTTGAAACATCTGGCTGGCATATATGCACAAGTCCGCCAAGGCCGCGTTCTTGCTCCATTGGCATATATTTTGAGGGCGTGTTGTTCGGCCTGCGCTCTGTCAGGGCCCGCCCGTGTTTTCAGAGTCGTTTCGCGTAGGGCGCCGTGCCTCATTGCTCTCCCCGGCATATCCGTAGGACCCCCACGCAGTGCACCGCGTTTGGTCTTCGTTCTGATTCGCCGCTCCGCAGACAGCCCGCCCGCGCTGGTATGTTGAAGGCCGCAGGCCCGCATCCATATAGCGCGTGAATTTTTACAGTGCGCCAGCGAAACACCTTGCCAGATGTACTTCACCTCTCCATCCCGGGTCGCCCCTGCCTGGCAAGGGTGCGCTCCTGCGTCGGGGCTTCTCCTTCGAGCTCCCTGATCTGACAGCTTTTCCACGGCCAGGGTCGCGGCCGCGTCCAACCGCCGCTCCCGTAGAGCCTCTGCTTGCCCTGTGCGATCGCCGCGAAAATTGCCGAGGGCCTTTTCGCCTCCTCTTCCATCTCATCAATCTCCTCGAGGGTCGCTCCCTCCGACTGGCTTCTCCGTCCCACGCGAAGTCGTAGTCTTCGGCGATGCCTTGGATATTAGCTGTCCAGGCCACTGTCTCAGGACGACCGCGGTGTCCATGGCGATGGGGTTCAGGATTGTGCCGCTTGCTCTGTTTACTCCTCCTCTCTATCTGTTTACTCCTCCTCTCTATCTCTCTCGCTCTTTCTCTTCCTCCTCAGTGGGCGTTGGCAGTTGGCATGTTCTATCCGTAGGTCCTTACCGACGGCCGCGCGGTCGTACTTGGTGCTGCGTTGATCGTGATATTAGCGTAAGTTTCTTTCTCGAGACCTGAGATCTTAAGCATCAAGGGCCTTGCAGGATATTCGAGACTCCTCTGGCACCGTCTTGAGTTCGTCGGACGCCATCGTGCGCCTCGTGATGTACGACTAGATACCCTCTCCAGGCATCCGCTACATGTTCTTTTCGTGCAAGGCTACGTCGAACAGCTCCTCCTCGCGGACCTGTCGCATTCGGCCATTCGCCGGGCTCTTCAGAAGGAGGGAGTTATCCCTGCCCATGTCTATCCCTATTTCCTCCCAGTCATACGAGGAGGCACTGATGAGTCAGTGCCCCACCGCGTGGGCGGCTGTGCCGCTGAGTCCGTCCTGCAGGTTGACATGCGTCGCTATCTGTGTCTCGCCGCCCATGCGATCCTAGACCGCGTCACAGACCCGCTGCATATACTGCTTGAGGAGTGCTGGATGTCCGTCGCGGAGCGGGGTGTTTCTCTCTCTCTCTCTCTCTCTTTCTCGGGGTGTTTTTCTCTCAGCTCCTCCTCCTCCTCCTCCTCCTTCTCCTCCTCCTCCTACTTTTCCGCGCTTGTGAACATCGGGGCCGGGCTCCCCTCTACCACCCCCTCCCCGCTCTGCACGACCGCTGCTGCAGCGGCATGGCGGTCAGCACACCACACTTTGGAGATATGATCGATGGATGGGAGGAGGAACGCACTGACGCAGTTGCACGAACATGCTTGGGTGCATGGGCCCCTCGGCAGGCTGCGAGGCGATGATCGCTTGAAGCGTCAGCGGGCCTGCGTGCTGCAGCATGCAGGCCGAGAAGAGGGAAAGAGCACCTCGAGACCCACGCTGTCGGTCAAGATTGTAAAAGAGCGGGGGACTGATGAACCGAGCACCTCACCTCCAGGAGGCTCCTCCGTCCTCCGCCTCCTCCCACTACGCGATGCAGCCCTCTACGCTCTCGGACACAGGCCCTTCGCTCCTCTTGCCGCTCGATCTCTCGCCCTGTGACGGCTCTGCACGCCTCGTGCCCTCGCGTCCTCATCGTCCTCGTCCCCCTCCGCGACATCCGCAGCGTTCGACATCCACGACGCTACTGCAATGGGGCCGTACGCCGTAGCCGCTGCCCGCCGCGCGATAAGATTGCCTGGCTGCACCGTCGGGCGACCTTCGCTCCCTCTCTCGTCCTCACAAGCATACCCTGAGACTGCCTCACCAGTTATGACCTCGAGTCTTGAAATTTCAGCTCCTAGGATAGAGGGTGGATCCTTCAACAAAGTAGTGCTCTCGCTGCAGCGCCGCGCACGATCGTCCCGAAAAGCTGTGACGCCTTCAAGGATGGAGGACGGAGCCTTTTCAACGTGCGGCTGTCGCTTCAGCGCCGTGCGCGTTAGTTCTCGGAAGCTGCAGCAGCAACATGGATGGAGGGCAGGTGGTTTGCAACATGTGGCTCTCGTTGCAGGGTCGCGCACGCTCTTTTCAAAAGCTTGCAACACCGTCACATCTCGAGAGCGTTTCTTTTTTTCAAACTGCGATTCTCGTTTCGTGCGCAGTTTTTTGGATCCAGGGCGGGCCATTTCGAACATTTGGCTCTCGCCTCAGCTCCGTCCGTGGTCGTTTCAAACGCTCGCACAGGCATGGTGTTTTGGCAGGATGTTGGACTGTCAGGGCGTAGCCGCGCAGCCGTCATGTTGATTCGTCTTGCTGAAGTCCACCCTCCTTGATTCCCAGTTTAGGCAATGTCTTTCGATGTGGCAGTCCCCACAATGACGAGACATGTTTGCAGGGACTTGTGAGGAGGGAAGTTGGAATGAATACGTATTGCCACAATGTCGAGTTCACTTGTTCCTCATCCTCGTCCTGCATTTTACTGTGGCTGTGTCTCTCTAGTTTGTTTTCGCGGGGGGTTCGATGTGGGCGCCGTCCATTCAGTTCGGCCTACGCGCGCGCGAGTTTACTTTCTGTGTCCGCCGTTTTCCCCTTCTGCCTTGTCTCCCTACAGGTCCCGAGTCCGGGGTTACTGACAGGTTTTCTGGCATTGTGCTGAATATGGCTGCGCCCGGGTAGTGTGCCACGCCATGGTGTGGTCAGCCCTCGGTCCTCCGCCCCTGCTCCCCCTCGCCCCATTCAATGCACTTGGCGTCTTCGTTTCAAGGCTGCTTTGATTTCTCTGCGCACGGGTGGGTGCGAGTGGGCAGTTGCGATGTGTTGCTCCGTCTCGCGCTCCAGCCCAGTTACGCTGTGGTGATATGCAGTCAATGAGGTTGGGGCCACGTATCTTATCATCGTTGTGTAGAACAAATCCCCCTCGTCCTCCTCCTCCCCCTCCTGGCTCATTCCCTTCCCCCCGTTTTCGCCTCCTGGCTCCCTCCTTTCCCCCGCTCCTTTTCCCCTGCCGCCCACTGGCCAGATGCGCCGCCCCGGCCGTGGCCGGCCGCCGCCCTTTAGGGCATCGACGTCGTGGCGGTGCCCGTGGCTGAGCTGTTGCAGGCCTGTGGCCTGCCTGGGGTCGAGGACGTCGGGCCGCAGTCGTCGTCATCGTCGTTCTCCTCCTTCTCCTCGCCGTTCCTTCCCCTCCCGTCTTCCTCCTAGTCGAATGGGGCCCGCGCGCGTGCCCGTCGCCACCGCGGTTCAAGCGCGCTCGCTATATTTTCACGTACAGAAGGAAAAAAGGGGCCGCCGCTATGATTTTTCCAGTTCCATCATGCTTTCTGCATCTCACCTATGCCACCCGCAATTCTAGTTGGTAGCGGAGCTGGGGGCGACCCCAGTTCGCGATCCACGGATTGCTCAAAATATGATGTGGACGCACATTCGCATTTCCCTCAAACTCCGCATTGGCACCACCGTCCATATCCTGAACAGTTTGTGCTTATGTTTGTTCTGCAAACTTTCGGGTGATTCGCTTCAGACGCTCACTGATACGATGAGGCCAACGCCAGACCGTGCAAGGCGTGAGGAACCGGCTGCGAGGGCATCCGCAGCTGTAGGTTACGCCATGGGAATTGCGCGCCTTCGACGGTGCTGCGCCTGTTTGTTCTTGTGGCCAGCCTGACCTCGGCGCGCACGACGCGCATACTTATATCAAGATGCGGTCGAGTGTGTTGGGATGCTCCTCTTCAGTGGTGGTTCACGCTATCACGTTACATTATCTTTCGTTGTATTCAGCACTGTCAAGATATGAAGTATTATAGTAGTGCGTGTTCTTCTGTTATGCCTTTGTTTCTGGTACGATGTTTACCCTATACTCTGCGTTCTGTTTACGATGTGATGTTATGTGTTGCTAAGACTGTGCCATGCCACTGGTAAACGATGACATTTCATATGAGTTGTCCTCATGGTTTTATCACAACAATGTTATCAAGTATTGCGTGGGATGCTGCACAGTGTTCATTCTATGTTGAAATGGCATGTTATGTCACGGTCGTCTTCTTCAGCGTCAATTGGTCCACGGCGTTGTCACGCATATGTTTCCGCGCGGTAGCACTTGAACAACGCTTTTGTGATGCCCCGTTCGATCATGTGGTGCGCTGCTATGTCATGGTATGTTCGATATGGTGTTATGGTACGTTATATGTGCTGTTATATGAGTTACGTTCTGATGCGTCCTCGTATACGATTACGTGTGGTGTCGCGACATAGCATGATATGACTTGGCATGAAAAGTTATGCTACGTTATGTGATCATATGTTATGTTATGATGTATTCGGCCATTGTGTGACTTTTGTCATGTCAGTGTATGGCCTGCTCTGTGGTGCTACGCCACCTGATGTTACTGCATGCTATGCATGATCATTTATGCCATGACATACTAGATGATACTTTATTATGTCATGGTGCTGTACCATGTTATGTAAGTTTGCATTGTGGTGTGTTTTGCTGCGCTATAGTATGTTCAGCTAGTAGGCTCGGTTATGCCATGATGTGCTATGTTCTGCACTGTTTGTTATTTTTGTTCTGTCATGCTCACAGGGGCGGGAGTCTCCCTCTCTCGGCGCACCTGTGGATCTGGCGGCCGCGGTATGTTGAGTGGGCCGGTCTGGTCGGGAGGGGCTGGATTCTCGCGGTTCTCGGTGGATTTGGGGATTTGGCGGTCGCGGTATGCAGAGTGGGCGGGTCGGTCGGGAAGGGATGCAGTCTCGGGGACTCTCGGTGGACCTGGAGATCTGGCGGCCGCGCTAGGCAGGATGGCGGGTCGGGAGGTCTGTTCTTAAAATCTGACGACCTCAATTGTCGGGTGGGGAACCATGGCGTACCCATTAGCGCGTGTTGCTCGTTGTTGTTTCTTGCGAATGCGCGCTTGTTGCGTTTCTTTGCCAATATGCTTTTTAGGTGCGGTTTCGTGTGTGCGTGTATGTGAGTTTCCTTGAAAGATGTGTCCTCTCTCTCAGGTGGCTTCCGTTGCCGCTTCCCTCTGCATCTCGCCTGTCAATTTGTACCGTCGCGCTGATTCGTCTTTCCCTTCTTCCTCTGGCATTCTTTCCCCCGTCTGTCCCTCACGGCTGCCCCCCTCGTGAGTGTCGCTGCCGATGCCCCAGGCTCCACGCTGTTGCCGAGACGCCAGAAGTATGTGTGTGTGTGTGTGCGGATAACGACGGCAGTGGCGGCGGCGTAGTGGGAGCGGGGAGGGACGTCAGTGGAAGCACGGCTGGAGGTGAAGGTAGCGTGCGATAAGGTCCAGCTGTGGCGTTCTGGATGTCAGCATCCAGCCGTGGCGCTGCTCCGCGAGACACAGGCGGTGAAGCTGCAGCCAACCGTCATCACCTGCAACATCCCGATCAGCGCATGCGAGAAGGGTCGGCAGGGGCAGTGGAAGCCGGCTCTGGCGCTGCTCACCAGCACCCCGATCAGCGCGTGCGAGAACGATCGGCAGAGGCAGTAGCAGCCAGCCCTGGCTCTGCTCAGCGAGATGCCCGTCTCGAAGTGGGAGATCACCATTATCAGCTACAGCCTTCCTATCACCGCGTGCGAGAAGCACGGGCAGCGGCAGGTACAGCTGGCCCTACTGCTGCTCAACGCGATGTTGGTCGTGAAGCTTGAGCTCCCCACCAGCATCAGCTACAGCACCCCGATCAGCGCGTGCGAGGAGGATTGGCAGGGGCAGTGGCTGCCGATCCTGGGGCTGTGCTGAGCGAGATCGTGGTCGTGAAGCTGGAACCCGCCATCGTCATCAGCTACAGCCTTCCGATCAGCGCGTGCGAGAAGGACGGGCAGGGGCAGTGGCAGTCGGTCCTGGGGCTGCTCAGCGAGATGTTGGTCGTGACGCTGGAACCCACCAGCATCAGCTACAGCATCCCGATTAGCGCGTCCGAGAAGGACGGGCAGGGGCAGTGGCTGCCTCGCGTGCGAGAAGTGCGAGCAGCAGCGGTCGGCCCAATCGCTGCTCAGCGATATGTGGGTGGTGAAGGTGGAGCCCGCCATCAGGCTTGCCATCGCGAGATCGCGAGTTACACCCTGATCAGCGCGTGCGAGAAGGACTGGCATGGGCAGTTGCTGCTGGTCCTGGCGCTGCTTGGAGCAGCGGGCCGGTGAGCACGTCCAAGTCCTTCGAAGAGCTCGGGTGGGAGTTGCATGCAGCAAGCGGCCCGCTCCCCACCGTGGACCTTCCTGCCTTTGGCGCCGCCATGCGAGTGGTGGCAGTGGCAAAGCGGGCAGTGGGGGCGAATACGGATGGCAGTGGCAGCGCGGTGAGAGAAGCGGGTAGGGAGGGCAGCAGTGACAGCACTGTAAGAAGCGCGGGCAGGGATGGCAGTGGCTGCACGGCGGGAGGGTTGCGGTGAGACGACGAGGAGGACGAGGACGACGAAACAACAAAAACGGCTCGCCGAGTGGCACACCTGATCCACCCGGGCATCGGGGGCCTTTCGCGAGCCGCCCGCCTGCTGGTTGGCAGCGCGCTGCCTCTTTACCACACCGCGCAGCGCGCGGCGGAGCCCGCCGCCGCCAGTGCGGCCGGGCGCCGCCGCCCCGCCTGCGGGGTCCCCTGCAGGCGGGGCGTGCTCCTCCCTGTTCGCTTCTGCCCTTCCCCGCCCGTTTTCCCTCCCCTCCGCGCGCTGCACTGGCGCTGAGCGGCTGCCTGCAGCCGCCACGCTGGGGGCCCAGGCCCAGTCTTGCCGCCCGCCACCCCGCGCTGGCCCAGCGGTTGGCTGGGCGCGCTCCTCCCTTGCCGCCGTTTCCGCGCACCCCCCTGGGCGACGCGCGGCCCTCCGCCTGGCACTTCGTGCGCCTCGGCAGTTTCAGGGTACTCGACTTGGTGTACTCGTTCTGGTACCCACACTGGGCCCCGCCGCCGCTGGAACCCCGGCGCAGCAGCCGCCTCAGTTCCCGCTGGCGGGGCTGGCCGCGCCAGCCGCTCTGGGAGCGACCCATCCCTCTGAACGGCCCTCGTTTTTTCTCCCTCCCCGCGGCCGCCCGCTCTTCCGTCCTCCCCTCCTCTTGCATGATGGCAAATTCGCTACAACGGTGCCCCTGTTTAGACGACCGCTGCCTAGCCACCGACAAAAAAAAAGTGCGAGCGTGCGTGTGTGAGTGTGGATGTTTGCGTTTGTGTGTGTGTGTGTGTGGATGTGTGTGCGTGTGTGTGTGTGTGTGTGTGTGTGTGTGTGTGTGTGTGAGTGTGTGTTTATGTGTCTGTTTGCGCCGGGGGGCTTTGTAGGCCTAAGTCGTTCTCACGAGAACCTCCCTGGAATTGCTTCCGAACGCCAGGATTGGCCCTCTCTGGGGCCTCGCGCTGGTGGTGGTGTCATCCATCCTTGTTCCCAGCCACCCCCCCGGGGAGGACGTGCCGCCCGGCGAGCACCTGATCGCCAGGACCTTAGGAACGCACCGGCCGTCGGGCGAAGGCCGCTTGCGGGGGCCGCCGCCGAATGGATCGCGCCCTGGTCATCGTTTCGGGAGGCGATGTGGTCGCACGCGCCGTGCGATGTTCAAAGGCATGCTGCTGTTCTCGCGGGCAACAGGGGTGCTGACAGGCGTATGGTGGCACTCGCAGGCGCACTGTTGCGCTCATGGACATCCTTTGGTGTTCGCAGGTCGCAGCGATTCTCGCAAGCTCACCAGCCGCGTTCTCGCCTATTCACACAGGACGATAGGAGCCAGGGGATGATGATGACGTTGAGGAGGGGGAAGAGGAGGAGGAGGAGGAGGCGGAGGAAAAGGATGATGGTGAGGAGGAGGAGGAGGAAGAGGAAGAGGAGGAGGAGGAGGTCCGTAGCCATTGTGGCTCAAGTCCGGAGTGTTTTGGCACAGGACATGACCTTTTGGCAATGGGGAAGGACGGTCCCCACCAGTGCCACCCCTCGCCCATTGGTCGGACGAAGCGTTTTGCAACTCAATCTTTCTTTTTGTGAACCCCTGCAGGAGCAACGACGTGTCCGCCAGGTTCTCCCATGGCCTCGGCTTGCAGATCGTGGCCCTTGGGTTCGCAAGCCGTCTGGTGAATCTCGGCAATGGTACGCGGACCAGGGAGCGGCTGGCGCCAGCAAGGTTTTTTGCCACACCTGCGGCTGCAAGAAAAGAAAAAGCACGATTGGTTCTGCAAGCGTTGCCTTCAGCCCTTGGCGTTCGTGGAACCGTCCGCTCCACCAGCTGCCGCTGGTGCCCGGGCAAGCCTACCGCCCCTTGGCTCGTTCCCAGCGTACGGAAAGAACGACACGGGCGGAGGCCCGCTGGCCACCCCAAGGGCGATATGGGCGGCAAGGGCGGCAGGGTGGGCAAAGGCAAAGGCTTCGGTGAGGGCGAGTCAGCTGGCCAGCACCCTGGGCCCAAGCCCCAAGGCCAGCAGGCGACGTGCCCGCCCCTGGGTATCCGAGGGTATGGGCCAGAAGGCCAGCGCTCGCCTGGCCTCCAGCTCGGAGATTCTCGATGGCTGCAGCGTTCGTCGGCAGGTTCATTGGCCAGCTACCCCAAAGACGACATACCAGCGCTGCAGGAGTTTGTGGCCAACTTCCGTCGGCTCGGTGACGGCCACCAGACGAGTATCTACGACGGCTACGTCCGCCAGCTGCTAAGGTCCGCCACGCTGGAGCCCATGTTTGTCGGCGCGGCCCAGCACGCCATGCGGGAGGCCAAGAAGGTCTTGGACAAGAAGGTCCGCACTGCCGAGCAGCTCAAAGCAAGTGCACCAGGCAGAGAAGGCGGCCACCGGTGCGCTGGCGGATTTCGAGGAGTGCCAGGGCAAAGACCACACAAGGCGGTGCGCATGTTGGCCAGACATGTACCACCCGAGGGCACGGCGGTGAAGGCGGCCGCCAACAAGCCAAGTCACGGCTTCAGCCTCGAGCGCCTACTCGACGACCAGTCCTCCTTCGAGATCTTCGCGGGCGACAACCTCTTCGGCCTGGCGGCGGAGGGCGCGGAGTTGCCGGAGCTCGAGCGAGAGGAAGCGGCCCGCCGCAAGGCTGAGGTTGAGGAAACCATCAAGCGCGCGGTCCTGGAGTCCTTCGGCGCTGTCAAGCAGCGGGCAAAGGAGTTGGTTGATGAACAGCGTGCTCTCCGCGCGCGCATGCAGGCCAAGAGGCGGAGGTTCAGCGACAGCGAGGACGCGTGCTGCGAGTCGGCAGGCCGTGCTCTTGCGACCCCGGCCGCGTCTGCAGAATCAGCAACCCATCCTGCTGCCGTGGCACCCTCTCCTGCCGCTGGTGGGGTTCGAGCACCGCGGCCTCCTTCTGCTGCTGCCGCGGCGCAGGCCAATGACTCGGCAGCAGCATCGCAGGCGGAGCAGAAGCCAGTCGAACCAGAGGACCCTGCAGAGCACCGAAGGAGGTTCTACATGGCCACGCTGGCAGCGCGTTCAGCTGTCGATCCGTCGCAGCCCCGGCAGGCTCTTCAGCAGCATCATGTGGCATATGGCCTTGGACAGGGGCATCGCCTACCCCGCCTGGTCTTGGTCGCTAGACTCACCGGCCCAGAGCTCGCCGAGACCCCCTGGGAGAAACCTTAGATATGCCAGTGTCCTCTGGGCGCCGGGACCGCCTAGCGGGATCTCCAGGTTGGGAATTGGTGCGAGTATGGCAGGAAGGGAGCGCCACATGTTCGGGATATGGATTGCCTCCCGATGCTTGTACCACCAGTGGGTCGAGGACAATCGCGCCTGGGGCTTCGCGACCTACAGCGACGCCCTCATCTTCCCCCAGCCCCCATCATGTGCCACGCGCGGTTTCGATCTATACCTTGGTCAAGATACCTGGGCGCCGCCGGCAACCTTCGTTGAGCGCAGTATGCCGTCATCCTGTCCAGTCGCCGCCGGCGGGGGCGGCGCAACCATCGGCTGACGCTTCCGCCTGCTATCCCGCGGCGGTCGCCTCGCCGTCTACTGGAGCGGCCAGCGTTTCGTCAACGCGTTGCATTTCTTTGACGACTGCTTCTTCCACGTCAGCGTCTGCAGCTCCTGCAGCCCTGGTTGGTCACCG